TTACATATTGTTGTCTCAAAAGATGGAGACACGCATTCATCGACCAATCAACAGACTAGAAAAATATTGGCACCATAAACAAATGATGCAGTTTTGCAAGACTTACTTCATGAAAGTACCATTTCTTCATAAACAACTAAACTTCGTGTCGCGGAAAATGACTTCTAGCTCTCATATATATATAAACAGGAAAACTAGTCTTATTTATTATCATCATATCACCAACAGTTAACAAGATTTGGAGGAAATACTAATAGACATACAACATTTCAATATTAAAATTATTATTGTCTTTCAATTGACATAAAAATCAATGCAATAAAAAATTAGACCTAAATGATTATATATATCTAAATAATATATATATATATATAAATATTTTTATAAAGAATGCACCGGATTAGACTGATATGCCCATTTTTTAATGAAAAAACTGGAAATTTTATTTTACCAGTTTTCTGTTTTGATTGACTTTTTGCGCAATTTTGATTTAAAGTGCACATTAGTCTTTGCTATCATTAAATTTACAATGAGAGTAGTTGTAGACAACATAGTTTGTTTAAAGTTGATTACAAAAAACATATAATGCATCGGTATATTAAATTGATATTAGAAAGTAAAATATTGTAAAATGTGTAATAGTAAAATATCTCATGATACACACATAATACAACTAATACAACTAATACTCAAAGTTATTATTTATATTATGACTCTTTGAAATTGTATGTGTACACAAGGTAGTCTCATTAATAAAAAGATAATAGTGAGATTCTTATAAAAATTTATAAAGCTCACACATACATATTTGTTAAAATTTTATATAGGTCTATTAAGTATTTTCTTCATGGATATAGTTAGATCTGTATTTTTTACTTTATTTTTAGTTATTTTTTGCATATATGAATAAGATCAACACTAAATAATTATCAATAATTCTTGAATTTATATGATCTTGAGAGGAAAAATGATTGCTTAGTATGTCTTGAAGTCTTTAGCCATGTTTAGAGAAGTTCAAATTTAATGTTCAAAATATTAAGCACTCTCTTTGAAACATGTATGTGTTAAAGTAATATCTGGGTTCTTTTGAAATTCTCAGTTGATACTTTATTAAAGCTACATCTTGCATTTTCAACAAGTGGTTACTCTCAAGAGAATGGTGTTGTGTCCAAATGGAGTTTTATTTTATATGATTAGATCACGCTAAAAGTGTGGTTAGTGACTAACCACACTTTTAGCGTGGTTAGTCATGTAGCGTAGTATTGGCAAAAGCGCTTGCCAATCCATCACAATATATTTGTAATATAACAAAAAGATCTGCCTCCACGACATCCCACCCTTCGTTGAAAGATCTGGTGTGATCCTGGTTATCAATGATTGTTTGATTGTGAGAAGCATTGTACAATGTTTGTTTATCTTTCTATAAGCAGTTGATCTCCCCAACGTGCCAAAACTTGTCAAACTGTGCTCGATACTTAGAAATAAAATGCAAAATGAGACTTGGGTTGGCGAGAATGTGCGTTTCTAATCGGTGTACTCACTTCTTTATTTTCAGCGCTCCTCACATTTAAGAATGCAAATGTGGCTTGTAAAATTAGAATACCACATCTTAGGAGGCCTGGGTTAGTCCAAACATTGACGCCCGCATTGTATGCACACACAAGCATTGGCTTCTTCTTTTGCATTATACATATAAAAATGTTTTACAACCTAGCTAGCTGATTCAACAATTCGTTCTTGGTTATTATAAAATTCAAGATTATTTAAATCAACTCAATAAATCTTTTATCTCTTCCAGATTTCAACGCTTCAGCACTGTAATCACTATTAACACATGTGCATTAATATCAGAAGTACATTATGTTCATGCGTATTTTCATCCTTTCCGAATAAGTATGATTCTACATCATATTAAATTCATTACATATTGAATACATATGATAATTGTATTGTATTTATGTAGTACGTTATGATCATGAAATATATTGATATGATTTTATAATTGGAATAGATACGTCGTTTTGTCCGAACCAAAATTCTTTATGTCTTTTTGAAAATCCTCCTAATTTTCGATATTATCTGCCCTTACGTCTATCAATGGTTTTATGTCTTGACTGTACTTTTGATGCTACTACGTTTCTGATTATTTTTACGTTCATCTCGAGTGAAAAAAGTAACTAACCGATAGTAACTGCGATCATTAATTGAAAAGAACTAATGATCGCAATATTTGAATATATATATGTAAATCATAATATTTGAATATATATATAATATAAAATATTTGAATATATAATGTAAATCATACTTTAAAAAATAATAATAAAATGTTAATTAGTCATTGTAATTGAAATTTATAATATTGAACTTTATATTTGACATAACTTCATTAATAAAAATATACAGGGTTGTGTTATGTGTATGACATATGTAATAAATTGCTCATCACATGATATGATAAAAGAGCATGATTATCCATTGATCATTATTTGTATATCCAAGATGTGCAACGAGTCTATCTGCAACATCTTAAAAGGCAGGAGTACGCAAAGACATCGATTTTTTGTTCCTGTAGATTGGAGTTTCATTGAAGGATGAACAAGAATATGTTCAGGTTCGACTCATAATTTACCATACTAGAAGTCATAAGATTTCAGTGTATTTAGCATGATGCATAGCCCGGCCTGCTTAGTCTAGTCGGACTCCTAAATTAGCTTAATTTAGTCACACGAGGAGACCTTCATTTAGGCTGAGATTTCAGTGTATTTAACATGATGCATAGCCCGGCCTGCTTAGTCTAGTCGGACTCCTAAATTAGCTTAATTTAGTCACACGAGTAGACCTTCATTTAGGCTTAGTTTAGGCGGTGGGCAAATGTGAGTTTTCTTAAGCATTTGGATTACATAAATTGGAGCCATATGCATTTCATGGGCAACAGACCTTTAGTTCAATTCCTACCTGGCTATTATTCAGGTTTTGAATCACTTGTTTTGAATTCCTTCTCTGGATTTTCCTTCGTGTTCAATATAACAATGCTGTTCTCCGAAACTTAGAGTACCCCAATATGACTTCTGTGATTATCAGCAATCCACCTCTACGAAGGAACTCTAATTTGCCATCCGAAGAAACCTTGTCTATGACTGAACCGTTCAGTTTATCTCCATAAAATCCTTGGACATGTCCTTGAATCTTCTCAATAATCCTCGAGTAAGCAGTTTTGGTTCTGTGTAAATTCTTAATGTTTAAACTTAGTTACAATCAAGAAATCACCTGCATTTTTTCATAATATTTTCATTGACATGTTTCATACTCAAGGGGAAGTCATTTGTACACAGAACACCTTCCACTCCTCTCAATAACCAACCTCGCAACTCACCACATCCCCTGTTACCTTGCATTGGAGTTCAATATCCACTCGATTCATAAACGCTAGTGCTTGCATTAGGCAGTTTAGAAAAACGTTTTGGTGGCATCTGATATGACTGGTCTAATATGCCCCAGGTTTTGAAAGAAACTGAAAGTGGATGATTTTGTGTCTAGCATATCCACTGTCTCCGGAAGATGCAGGTACCTTGTAAAGATGTCAGCGTAAATGAAGGGTAGAATAATTAGGCGCGCCTGTGTAGTGTAGTTTAGTTAGTTTAGGCGTCTCGACATATGATTGCCTACACTGAACAGGCCGGTGCATAGCCTACATTGGTCAACGTAATTGCTTCGCTCTACATACAGCAAATTGATGGTTGCTAATCCTTTTCTCCACAAAAGTTTGTTCATCTAAGCTCCTACGTGACAGAGTAATCTTGAAGATCATGTTAGGATCATGTACCAGTTTGCTTTCATCAAGGTAGTATAATACGGGGTCTTCCTATAGATTTTAATATTCTTTTGTCTATTCGGTTGTGTTCTAACGTGACCAAAATCCCGGTCTAATTATAATTTTTGAGCAAATCAAGTTTAGTTCTCCTCGTGTTATGAGCATCAACTGACACACAGCCAGTGGTGGTGTCCATACCCCAGCCGTCGATGTTTTTTTACGAACAGGGAGCTAGTAGACCTCGTGTACACATTCATGTGGGTATTCAGTGTGCAACAAGGTCATGATCTGATGTCCAAGCCTCCGGATAAGATGACGTCGTGTCCCTGGATATGTCCTTGCATACGGCTCGCTGGGGTCTTATCACCGAGCCGTATACATGTATATTACTTAATAGATGCTATACTTGATTCTAGTTCGAATGGCCAATGAAAACTGTATCCCGTCCCATGCAGATATCTGCTTGGTACAACTCTGTAATAATGTAAGGAGCCTATGAACTGAGTCATCTCCACATCAGGATGAGCAATTTTCTCTAGGACGGCGAAGAAATGATGGTACTAGTCGATTCTCAGGAATGAGGCAAAGCATGGAGATTTTCCAAGAGTTTATAAAACTATATCTTTATTCCCGTCTTTGATCAATAGAAGTTTTCGAATGTTCAAATCGTAGACATTCAGGCTTATTCCCGAGGCAAGAAGTTTTGCAGTACTCGGTTTCCGTGTGTTCTCTCTCACTTTGGACAAATGCCTACGAGGACAATACTCTGATCACTTGAGATTTGCCTGACATTGATAAGGTACACAAGTTGTACACCATTTATCTGATTCTACAGTACTCGTGTGGATAAAAAAAGCGTTACGTTGTTGCCGATGATTGTATGTATACTCCCTTCTGACTTGAAGCCACGTGCACGAGTGTGCTTCGTGTGTCAAGACTGCTGACATTGTCCTCATCTGTACAATCTACCGAAACCAGATGCGACCTGAGCCAGAAGAATAGAGTGCTGAAATACATTGCTGGTCCGAAGACACTCGATGGGCTGGCCATGGCATTCCAGGCTACTTATGCGTGTGTGTATCAGGTCGATTGCCGATTCTGAGATTCTGCTTAGTTGGCTGTGCCATTTATCGTTCCTACCAGAAAAAGAGAGTGCAGTTTTCAATCATTCTTGGCACTCAATGTTCATGATCGAAGTGTTGGCTTTTATTTCGGACAGATTTTCGGAAGGATGAGAAAGAAGTACAGATGAATCGGATGTTCACGAACACCAGTTGGAACCGAAGAGCTACAGAGTAGTTGCTAGTCCTCTAGAGGGTTGCATTGCGTTTGCACCTTGCTAACCCAGCTGTGGACATATCTAGCCTATAATATAATGCGCAGCCAGTGCTCGGTTGAGCGCCAGTGAGAGAGTGAGAGAGTGTGGGGTGTTTGAAGGACAGATGCTGGTGCTGGTGATCATAATAGGAACGGGAATGTCTGCCCTCGTGTGAAGATGTTCTGTTTCGGGGATAACATGGCTTTGGGATCGAACCTCCTCTTGTTCAGAACAAACTTAGCCCATTTGGCGCCAAAGTGAGCCTCCCAGTCGGCACGCGAGGTGTGAGTCGGAAAGAACTGCTTGCACCCGAGTCTCTCACAAGCCTGCCAGGCTTGAGAATTGCGGTCGACCAAGGCCTTCAAAGTCGGGCCCTGTCCGGCGCCCACGGAATTCAGGAACGAGACAGTGAAGAATATGTCCTCGTCCGGGGTCACGGCCGACATCTGGGGGTCCCACTTGTTCCGGTTCACAGGGAAGATGTTGACAGGACCATTGAAGGTACTCACATCGACGGTTCTCAGAACCGTGCGCTCGAATGTCGCCATGGCACTGGCCGGCACGAACAGAGTCGACCACGGGTGCTGAATTTCCCACAAGCCGGCCGCTCGCAGCGTCAGCTCGCCGGTGTGCACTCGGTCCAGAAAATCCACGAAAGGCTCGTCCCTCGTGAAGACCTGCGACGGAATGAAGGCCAGCGGCGCCAGCAGCTGGCTCACTTGCTCGTGCACGGAGGCAGGCGACTCGAGCGCGATGTTGTAGCTCTTGGCGAGCTCCAGATAGTACAGAACGGACGCGTTGCCGGGGGATGGCAGCAGATTCACATTCACCGTCTGGCCCTCGAATGGCACGGAGCTGAATCCGTTGACGAGGCTGTCGGAGTTCGTGACGAGATGGCCCTCGATGTACTCGAAGGAGGCGATGGCCTTGCGCTGCTGCTGGAGCGAGATGAGGCGCAGCTGGTCGCGCTGGAACGAGGCGAAGTCGGCGTAGAGCGCATGGACGTGATGCACATGCGTGGCGCTGGGCTGCAGATTGATGCGCGCCTTGGTGATGATGCCGAATTGGCCCAGCCCGCCGAGCACTGCGAAGAAGAGATCCGAGCGCGTCCGCCTGGAGCAAGTGACGAGCTCGCCTGTGCCCGTGACGACCTCGAGCTGCAGCACATTGGAGATCTGCGGACCCCAGAAGTACGTCTGCCCGCTGATGCCGCCATTGGACAGGGTCCCACCGACGCTCAGATGCAGGTAGTCCAGGAACGACCTCGGCGCCAGGCCCTTGGCCAGGCTCGCGCGCAGCACGTCGATCCACAATTCGCCGCCCGCGGCCTCGACGAACGCCCCGCGCGCGCTCACTCGCGAGCCTCTGAGGTCTGACATGTCGATGACGATCCCGTTGAGCACTTGCGCCTGCCCATTGGCCGAGTGGCCCACTCCCCTCGCGGCGATGCTCACATTGGAGCTCGAGGCGTACACGAATCGAACGAGCTTGGCGATGTCGCGAGTCGAGCCCGGGTGCAGCACCGCCGCAGGGCGCGCGCTGACGATGTGGCCAAAATCCACGGCGGCGAAGCTCGTGTCGCGGAAGGTCAGGGACCCGTCCAATTCCAGAGCCGCCAAGGCCATGCAGTCCGAGGCCGCGAGAGTGCAGCCATCGATCGTGCTGATTGCTGCGGGGCCTGGGCCTGAAGCATGGCTGAGCCCCAGGGTGGCGATCGCCGTGAGATATTTCAGTAATTGCAGCATCATGTCGCTGATTGATCCCTGGTTGCTAATGTACCCGCTCCAAACGATGCAATGTGATGCAATCTCGGCCGCGGATGCCAAATTTATAGAGGCACTAGATCTGCAAGTCAAAGCATGAGTCGCGATGTCAACTGGATTCCACCCCGAATCGTCAGTGCGTCACATGAGCGCCATGGATTGTTGCCCGACTCTGGACTATGCAGCTCTACTATTGTGCGACTGTTTGAATTCCAACGTCACGACTAATCAAAGCTGCTCGCTACAGTCTGCGAAGTTATTGACAAGGCAAGCCCACCTGATGTTCAGCAGCCAAGGCGCTGGGCCTTTTATGAGCCGAGGTCACGTGTGAGACGAGGCGCATATTTTATCAATAAACGTCGACGCGCGATGTTGGACACTTGTGCCGAGAACACTAGCATCTCAGAATGTTTTTTGTAGTGTTTCGACCCGTAACGACCACACTCCAGTTTATTGGTGCTCATATTCTCGCATCATATCTTCTTGACTCACACAATCCCAACGCACCTAGTTTTACACTGAAAAGTCAATTCGAACACTGATTGGGGTGTAGGTTATTAATGGATTTATCTCACAACATCCGGCGATAAACTTCCTCATCTTTCACTCGCCCGGTTTATACTCGTAGCAGTGGCTACACAAACCAATACACATACGCCACAAGTGAACCCCTGATTTCCTTCGACAGATGTATTGTCGCAGAGCCTTTAAGTCATCTTTGGACAGTGCTATGAAACGAGCGGTCCCAATGTACAATAGTGCAATCCGACAGTGTCTTGATTGACTGGCTCGCTTCTAATATACGTATATTGCCGCACGCCGTTCCCTGTTCAGAGTTTTCAGACGCAAAGCCTTGATCACGAGGCTCCTCTACTGTAGTTCTAGGCCTCTCGAGGAGTCCTAAAGTCACTGGATTTGTCATTTCTGAGACCACGGTCATGGTCCTTGCTTCCTACATCCCACTGCTCCTACTTAAAAGTTGCCTCAAGGCCAAGTAAAGCGGGAATGAGGAACCCGGATGAATACAGCATATTTTTATTCACAAGTTCAATTATTGTACTCTAAAGCAACAGAGAATCTACAATTTCAGCAAAGACCAAATTTCAGAGTGAATCTGCCTTGCACGTTTCCTTAAATCTCAAGGTCATCATGACATGATTAGTTCCTGACTCGTAGATACCAACTTATTCGTATCGTTGTCATGCTCCCAGTCTTGCCTTGCTTTCTTCCTTTTGCTTTCGTCTAAGAAATCAAATCCCCCGCTCCTTTCCATCTCTTTTGCTTTCATCTAGACAATCGGATCTTGCATGACACTGTATTGTGCTAAGCAGAGGTATTACGAGATCTAATATCTTATCACTTGGGAATCTCCTCGATCTTCTTCGGGCTCCTGTGAAGTGGATCAAGGACCAGGGTACTCTAGGATAATAGCTCCTCATGGTGTTCTGCCTCTTTACATCCTCTGCTCTCGCAGCAGTGGACTTGAGCCGCTGACTTTGTAAGAACTTACTTGAACTATTTGTGGCTCTCGGGACTATCCTTCAAACTGAAGGCCGAACTCCTCTCCCCCTGGGGTAAGAGAAATCTACTCTGTCACTGTGCCGACAGAAGAGGTCACATGACCCAGATCCGATTTCGTGGAACTTGCTTCTAGTGTCAGTCCCCAAACATCGGAAACGAGTTGGAACAAAATATCTTCGTACAAAGTCGCCACCCATTGGGTGAAATCACTCCAGCACAGTACACAGAGGAGGAGGAATACCGCACAAGTGCGTAGCATAATGAGGTCTAGAGGTACGGCAGGTTTCTGATCATCTGATAGGTTCTGGGTTTAGCTGTGCACGTTTTGAAGCAGAAACAACTATAACGGCTTTTGCTTGAGGGTGCTGAATCTGCTGGTGCTTTAAAACTTCTGTCATCCTTTTGTTCTTTCGTTCTTTGCAGTCCCTTTCCATCCTTGCTCCGTTCTGCAGCAAATATAACGACTGCAAAGTGTATGGAAACGCGTTTCTCTCGAGATTTTCCCTCCGGCGCTTTACTGGGACTCATGCACTCGTCAACGTCTCAATGTGTGTAGCTGGACAGAAAAACCTCGTGAGCATGCACAGAAAAACAGTTCCCAGATCGATGTCCGGCGCCCTTAAGTGCAAAGGATCGAGCAACATCTGTTTCTTGAATGGGACGCCTGTCTGCACATTTTGCCCCAAGAAAATCAGTTGGTGCGAGCCTTTTTTATCTTCTTGCTCGTCCACGGTCCTACTGTTGTTGCAGATCTGATGAACGTGAAGAATTAAAAAGTCCATGACAATCCCATAAACTACTGAGTCAAGTAATGAGAATCATGATGGTGTACTGTAAATTAAAACATTTCGAAACAGCTTTGGCACTGTTCGGACGACATCGTACGATTCTCAGAAGAACCGGTCGTCAAATGCTTTCGCAGGGTGCAGCCGCTGCAGTAAGTTGAAGTTGGTGAGCAAGATTACAACTCACCTGAGGATCCGGACAGAGAATCTAAAATATTTTGTGATTATGGCGGATTTGCTGCTGGATCTGCTTGTACACACAGCAGATTTGCTCGCGAGAGGTCCACGCTGCTGATGTCAAGTTCGCACCTGTGTCTGGTTTCGACCATGCACGAAACAGTGCAATCTAGTTTTCACATAACCGGCATAAATACGCACCTTTACTGGCTGTCCGTTTGCGCGCATGCACCAACAGTGGTATCGTCTTTCAACGGAAGCGGCTACGATAATTCAGCTTTTCTAGCTGTCCGATCTCGCGATCGCCCCGTACGGCTCACAGATGTTCCTACTTTCAGGTGTCCTTCTCCTAGAGGTGAACATAGTATCCTTGAGGCACCATGAATGCCAGAAGCAGTGCTAGATCTCGATGCCCCAGCAGCCGATGGCAAGATGGAAAGTGAGAAACCACAGTCTTCAGAAGCGGATTCAGTAGATTGTCCGTAGAAAAACTGCCGCCATATACAGAACCTACTCTGGCCTGACGTCACGGATGAGATGGTTCAGTGTACTCGTGCCTTTTAGCTTTTCCCATGTAGAAAAGACAGAGGCGCAGATATTTTCAAGTCTCCTTTCCCACAGGTGAGTCCAAGTATCAGATCGCAAGCTCAGCTCAGCTCAGCTCAACAGGTCGCACTCAACACCAAACGAGGTTGTCGTGCAAGACTGACGTGAGTGCGATGTGGGCATTTCATGCTTAGCTAGGTAGCTAACAACGGTTTCTATACTGCTTATCCGTTCGGCCGCTTGATAGCGAATGGATGAGTTCGGGCCTTCGGAACCACAACTCAGACATGATGTGTATGTGAAAACTCCGAGGGTACGTCGTCTGTGGCAATGATTTTGCATCGCTTATCCTTGAAGGAGAATAAAGCTGTTCCATTGCGAGGAGCGTGCTGGATATAATCGACATTTGACAAGGTTCTATCCGTTTGGCGTAAGAGAAAATTCTCAGCGACCACGTTACTTTATACCTTTTCACAGTTCGTGTTAGTCTAAAGCAGTGGATCTGATTTCGAATGGATGCAATCTATCAGACATCACCTCAGTTGGATCGTTTTTCAATTTTTTTTACCCAGTTATTGATCAGATCTACGATAGACTTGGACACACCGCATTCATCGTAATGCTATAATTATTTGCTTTCTGCCATATATTCTGATTTGGTCCGTGGACTTTAATTCCCATTCATCCATTGAAGATAGGCCTCGATCTACAGCGATATAGAATGCATTCTTTTGTGTTTGAAAATCACCTCCGTTTGCCAAAGGTTGTATGAAAGAAAAGCGGATCTGATTCCCATCATGCTCGAATTCAGTGTCAGAAACTTTTACTGATGCTGTCAGGATTTCAAAGCTTCGCCCAGTTCAGTACTGGTGAGAGAACTTGCACGACCAATGTTGCACTGGTACCGCTGAAACTCATGATTCAGTCCATGCGGTTCAAGAATATTGACCGTGTATCTAGCCCATAACCTGTGTACCTGAATCCCTATCTCCATCTTCCGAAATCTTGGTTCCTAACCATGTTCCATAATTTTAAAAAACTCTGACAGTTCTTACCTGGATTCAAACCTCAAAGCCACCAAAGCACTACCACCACGTTTCCTCTGAGATAGCTACGCTGCTATCGAGACTTTTGAAGCCTTTTGATAAATATCTGAAGTGGACTCGCTGATTTTACTAGGGACTTAACATGTTTCTCTTGAGGGGAACTGAGAACATGTAGTGACTGCCAAATGATCGGAGAGCTGGTTATTGTTTCAGCTCACCTCAGACGAGAAGAAATATCGCAAGAATCCATCCGGGTGAGATCTTGTTCCGGTAGAATTGAGCAGATTTGTAGACTCGGGTACAAGAGATATAAATTCTTCCGTGACATCTAATTGGAAACATAGACAAAACTACCGTAGCAGCTCCTCTAGCTGATATGAGAGCTCGCTGTTGATTGTCTTTGTATCAATTAGCGCGGCTTCTACGGTGTACGTAGAACTGGAATAAGAGATTTGCTGAAGACCTTGGGAGATCTTCCATTCTTTTGCTCAGTGACCTTCATTCAGGAATTAAGTCAAAAGGAGAGACAGGATCATCCGTCTATATTTCCCGACAAGGAGTGCTCACAAAGACGAAAGCAAATATACTAGTGATCCATTCCAGCTGTCTTGCTTGACGTTTACAGTTATTGAACTCAAAATATCCAGCGTGTAAAATCTACATCTATCGCAGAGGTTAGATGTACAGTTTGATAACGATGGAATAGTATTATGTGATATTTTTTTGAAATCCCAGCCAGGACTTCTAAAATACCAGCTCATTTCTTTCCGTCTCAGGAAATGTTTCCAATTCCCATCCTTCTCCATCGATTAACGGGCACATTCGGCAGCAGGAACTATGGGCTACTTCGAAGAAAATCTGTACAGAGATTCTCATTATGCAGTTGCCCATCTCCATAGATCCGATAAGAACCAGAAATTCAACGTGACCACATGCGTTGTAGCACGTGTCCTGTTAATCTATGT